TTCTTTCTTTCTTTCTTCCTTTCTTTCTTTCTTCCTTTCTTCCTTTCTTTCTTCCTTCCCTCCTTCCTTCCTTCCTCCCTCCCTTCCTCCCTTCCTTCCTTCCTCCCTTCCTTCCTTCCTTCCTTCCTTCCTTCCTTCCTTCCTTCCTTCCTTCCTTCCTTCCTTCCTTCCTTCCTTTCCTTTCCTTTCCTTCTTTCTCTCTTTCTTTCTCTCTTTTTCTCTCTTTCTTTTCTTTCTCTCTCTCCCTTTACCTCTTTTTTCCTTTCCTTGTTCCCTCCTTTCTCTTTTTCCTTTCATGTTACCATTGTTCGGAAGTGAGAAAATTCACATGTTCCTCTACCTAAAAAAATATTATTCTAAGCTTGTTTCCTTTAATATTATACTAAAACTTGTTTTATTTCAATAAAATTTTTCTTTACATATGGTAGCAATGGTTGCTGCACAGACACATAGCATAGACACTTTGTGTCCTGCTTAATTGTCCTGCTTAATTGAAAACCAGAAATCATATAGAAGGGATGGAAGATAGATACTGCATAGAAGCACATGAGAAAGAAACAACAGGAAATTTATTTATTTGAAATGAAAAAATCAAAATATTGTTTTAAAGTTTGGGGATTACATAGAGGCAGGCAGGAAGAGAAGAAAGGGAGGTGGGAGAGAAGAAAGGAGAAGGATGGGAAGGAAGGAAGGAAGGAAGGAAGGAAGGAAGGAAGGAAGGAAGGAAAAGGGAGAGAGGGAGGAAGGAAAAGGGAGGGAGGGAGGGAGGGAGGAAGGGAAGGAGTGAATAGTTAAAGGTTGGCCCCTAACTCTGATCAAAGGAGTGGCTTTCTAGTATCTGCAGCAGAGATCTAAGGAGGCCTGAGGAATGTGAATTTGCTGTGGTGTTAAATGGCTTCCAGAACTGACCCTTGTCTCGTAGCTCCAAGTATGGGCAGAGCAGTGTGCAACTTCCTCCCCACATCTTTGGAAACATGCCCTAAGAAGTCTATGTTTGAAATTAAAAGGTTAGGGAAAAGTACCTTTGGGCTATTTAGTCACTGATGGGCATTTGGTCTTGCATTTTCAGTCTATATCCAGCCTTGCACTGAATAA